AGATTGTTTTAATAAGTTTTTTCACTGTCAACACGAAATATTTCTGTATTTCTCAAGAAAAAAACAAGAATCAAAATTCGTACGTAGAATGAAGGAGGTGTGTGTACACGCGTAAAGGACTTTGTGGTTACCGCATAATAAAGAAAATAATTAATTGCTAAATATAATAATGAGACATTTTATTATTTTATGTCATTGTAACATTTCCATTTTGTAAACTGCATTTTAATTATTCACGTCACAATTAGCGGAGGTTAAGTTTTCCTTTTCGTTTTTCAATTCAAAATGCTGTAAACTCCATTTTAAATTTTAAAAAAGTGCGAACATATTTCAGAGATTGCTCATTTTTCTTTAAAATATAATTATTTCGATTATCATTATTAAACTTATACTTAATCTTTGTGTATATATTTTATTATTTTATTTATTTATTTTATAAATACTGTTTACTTTGACCGCATTAAAATTGCAACTTGGATCCGGTCATTATCAAAATTTTTTTTATATTTTCATAATCTTTATAGAGATTTGTTATTTATCACAATTTTTCAAAAGAAAATGACATATTAGTATCATTTTCTTTTGAAAAATTGTGTAAACAGACATCAAATAAATAGAGACTTGCCGCAATTAAACAGAATAATAAATCTGTCATTGACAGAATAATTCAGATTTAAAATCAGTAAAGGAAGCATTTAATAGGCAAATGTCACATTGTAATGATTTATGTGTTTAATGGGAACGAAACCTGTTAACCGATATCACACCGTATCCTCCATTTAATCTCTGAAGTTATCCTTTAATATAAGCATTCTTCGTCTACAGGAAATCAAACTTCTCTAGGAATGTTTTTATTTTAAATATTCGTTCTAATTCAAATCTTGTCTTTTGCATTATTAAAAAAATAATAAGAAGAATTAAATAAAAATTCCTTAAGTTAATAAAACAGTTTTGCGCTCGAAATAATTCGAATAAAGTCTGCCATCTTTGTTTTCTTCTTACCTCAAAAACGAGTAATGGAAAACAAAGAGAATTTCCTACATTTTAAATCTAAATGAAAAAAAATCATATAGGATTTTCTTTCTTTCTCGCAAAATCTAATACAAAGTGCAGTTTCTTATCAGACTTAACCATGATTCTTGATTTTCTCCATCACATAATCTCTGTTATGTAGCCCATCTGAGCTTGATATTATACTGTAAATTCATTTAATATAATAAAGTTTTCAATAAAATTCATATACAGTATTTATAATGTATTTTTTCAAAATTATATGTTTTATAATATAAATAAACTGAAATTTGTTCGATCCGTATAAGCTTATAAAATAGTTACAGAAATTATATTTTAAACCTAATAATTTATCGAGTACATCGCAGAAAATTATATATATATATATATATACAGTATATAAATTTTATTTTTTGAGTGTTTAAGTAGACAATGCATTTTCATGCATCGCATTGAACTAAATTATAAACGTGGAGAAAATAACAACGCATTTGATATAACGTTATCGATACGAGGTCAAGAATTTTCTTTCCCGATAATTTCCTATTTTTGGAAAGATAATAATAATGCGTCACTCAATCAGAGCATATGACATACATCTCGGCATAATCCTAAGTTATGCTAACATCTCCAATGATCATCTATTATATAAATCAAAAATCAAAATGTCCATACGGTGTATCAGGAAAATAAAAGAACTAATCCAAATTTCCCGTCCCGATTAATGCTTTATAAATGCCCTATTTGCTCGCTTCCGAAAGAATTTCTCCGGATTTGCATCCTTTCCTTCCTCGTTTTAAACAGAATTATTTCTATCCAGAGAAAAATTGACAGTAAAAATATCTTAATGAAGAATTTTCCTAGAATAATAAATACTGCATCAGAAAAACAATATAACAAATACAAAATTTGGGAAGGACCTCATCATCGTCGGTTATTGACTGGGGATGAGAGACGTAAAATGGGGCTGGCCTAGTCACAAATTCCTCCCGAAAGCCATAAAAGTCTTTTGGCTTTCAAGATGAATAAGATTAATTAATAAAACAAACAAATTACTTTTTTTTTACTTTCATATATATTTTTTTACACAAAAACTAAACTTTTCTGTGGCCGGGATTCGGACCAAATGATCGCTTCTGTTTGACCTGCTTGTTAATGAACATCAATTAAAAATTTTAGTGTCAATCAAATTGCAATTTTTTTTTAAATCTTTAACTGCTAACTCAATTAAAGTATTTAAATTATTATAACTTATTTTACGACTGATTGCTAATAGACGGCATTCTTTTATCCCAGATTATAATCTAAAATATGGCAAAACTACTTATATAAAAAGCATTTAAAACGAACAAAGCTCAATTGCGAGACATTACAATACACAAACTATTCTTTCTTGTATTGACTTTCATACAATAACTCTGGGGGACGTTAATTGAACAAGCAACTAAATCGAAGATTATTTGACGATATATAATCATCATCCTGTCTACTACGGCCTAATGGCCTGTTACGGTCATTTCCCATCTTTTCAAAGTTTTATAAGAGCCTCAGATTTATTTATTCTTCTTGAATTGCAGTAAAATATGTCTTCAAAAATATACAGGATCTAACAGGAACTATTTTTTTATAGCACCATAACGTTTCCATTTGACTAATACAAAAGAATTGTTATAAACGTATAGAAATATCTTTATCCTCTTCAGTTTCTTTAATAATATGCAATTTATTCTACTACTATATTCTATAATATCGACAGCTGTAGATATCAATCGATATTGATAAATTATTAAACAAATAATAATAATTTTACGCTCAGTAGGACACACTCCGTAGAGTTCCTAGAACACAAGTTACGTTTAGCTACGCTTACTGAAAGTCTATAATTAGTTAAGAATTCATTTGCTTGCATTTTATAACTTTCTAAAATATATTTCATTAATTTTTATACCTTTTATTTACGATATAATTGTTTTTTTTTTCTACAAAGTTTGTGTTCAATAATCAGAATTTTCTATATATAAACAAGTGTAGTAAATATACTATGGATCAAACCTCTGAACGACACACACAAAAATGGCTGTTATTGAAGGTTCGAATGTATTATATTTCTTGCAAAAACTACTAAATATATATTACTGAAGAAGAATAAAGTTACTATTTTAATAGGTCTAGGCTTATATCATTTTTTTTTCTTCCTAGATTTTCACATCTCTTTACTAAACTAATTTTTCCTTCTTTTTTTATGATCACATCCATGTTAAATTTTTACTTTCTTTTAATTTCTAATAGGATTATATCGTGTTAGTTTTCTTTTCCCGATTGATTTTAACCGTCCCCTTCTTCATCTTTCGTAACATTCAATTGTTACATTTATCTAACAAACTTTTGAATGAAGAAACAAGAAATCTCCAGTTTGGTTTAGCAAGCGTTATTAAGAATCTCTATCGCTATTCTATTTATAATCGTTTTTAATTTCCATCTTAATTTTTGCAAATGAAGGTCTATTTTAAATATTTGTACTAACCTATTCTCTTTAACCCTTCAAGCTTTCAGTCAACGCTTGGCTGAAGATGTTGCTGGCAAAGAAATTTCCGCTTGAATTACAAAAACAATGTTATTAAAAGGGATCCTCACGCACTGTTTAGGATTGGAACCTTAAACTCTCCTTATTAGTGGCATCATCTAACATTATATTAATTAATAGCCGATCCATTTTTTTACAGATTTTCCTATCTTAAAATTATATAATACATTTCTTCTTATTTATTCATTCAATAATCGTCGCTTTTTGGACTCTTTCCATAAGTAGTTAGAGGTCCTTTACTAGGCCCATCGTGGGTTCGGCCACACCCACAATGGAGAGTCCGAATGGAGAAAGACTGGGCCCGACATATCCTGTATCTTAGACTGACCATCTCCGAAAAATTCCCAGATTCGAACCCCGGATTACCAGAGCGGTCCTCGTCTCGTCCATCCGACCAGTAATACGTTTGTAACAAACTTAAATTCGAATTTAGATTTATAAGTATCTGATGTAATAATAAAATTAGTATTAAATAAATACTTTCATTTCAAAACAGCGTTTATACAAAAATATGGTTGTATCAAAGGACGAGTGAAATTGCTTATACAAAAGTAATTAACACATTCAGAAGCCGGCAAGTGGAAAAACCACTTTTTAATTTCCCTTCTCTAATACAGAAGTCGCTTTTAATACTATCGAAATGTAACGAGATCCGTCAATAACAAAGCAATATCGGAAACACCCAAATTCCAGTGTATTTTACGCCCTATATGGCATAAAACCTTCTCTCTACCACCCCTTAACGTTTGAATTGCACGGAACTTAAATTGTTTGCAATTAAAAAAGCCATTAATATAACCAACCACTAACAACAATTAAAAATGAATTAAGTATAATAACGAAATTAAATTCGTTACTCATTTATGAAAGTTTTTGTGTCTAAAAATTCGTTGGAAATATAGCACACTTGGGAAATTTTCTATTTTTAAATATTAGATAATGAACATCAGCTATAATAAGCAATGGCGACCGTGAAAACCTTAGCGTGACAAACGACAGAAATCACGTTTCTATACGCAAGCGAAAATAATAAAACAATAAACGTAAACAATCTCGCATAACACTTCTTTTATGGACAAAAATTCGGTTAATTTAAATAACTAGCACTAAGGAAGCTATCGGGAAAAAAAAACAACGTAAATGGTTAACAAGACGCCCAACTATTAAAAATGCCTAAGCAAAATATAATTCCATTAAGAAAAAAAAATGTATAGCGTTATTTATAAACAACTTCTCGGTGTTTTAGGGAAAAACGAGATTTGGATCAGTAATTCTTGGGTTGGGTGACACGTTGCCCTACTGTATTTGCTCTACTGGTTTCTTTTAACTGGGTGCACCGCCTGCGATTGGCGGATGGAAGGGCATATAAGCCATTCTGCCAAGCTATAGCAAATGGTCACGAACTTGCAACCATGTGCTTCACCATTTGGGTAAGTGCTGCTAATTTTTTATAGTCTAACCGTACTGTACCTTATCTATTAACGTTAATTTTTTTTCCGTAATAGTATTTTTATATAGTATTTTCTTGTTGTTTTTAAAACGTTTGGGTTATTAAAAGAGGTTTTTTGTTATAGGTTATCGAGACTTTAGCATTATGCGCCGGTACATTAGGTTTCTATATGGATGATTTCGGCGACGAACACTTTTCGCCCTCTAATGTTTACTATGATCAATTACCTTTGGAACAATACCATCCTCTATGGACGAAAAATTTCTTCCCTAAGAAGAGCTTCAATAAATTTGCGGCTAATCCTTTCCCTTTCAAAGTACCTTTTGAAGCTTCGTCGTCACTTTTGTCTGAGGAACAACGATTAATACCGTTCGCAGTCGCTCCCTCTAAACCAAACTCTCCCTCAGATAATAATTATTTCAACAGAGAACAAGTTATTAACTACAACCATCTTCAAAATTCTCCATCAGATCCCGTGGAGACTGAAGTGTATCACGTCAAATTGCCACCCGTAATAGTAGATCATACTGGACAATATCACAGAGTGCCAGCAGGAACTTTGGTGCAGATGTTGAAAGGTGCACAGGCGCTAAACAGACTTCAACCTCAAGGCGTACACTACGCCTCCGGAAATAACCATTACGTGAATTCCCAGCTGCCTTTTCAACACGCTCAACATGGTCAACCGACTCAGCAAGTCCACGAAACCGCTTCTTACATCCCTTTAAGAGATATATATCAAAACCATAAACTAGTAGACCAAATAGATAGACCTTACGTCCATTATTATTCATTACCGCACAATCACAATTATCATCATTCTTATCTGCATAACCACCAGATCACGCAGCCCTATTCGCCCGTGATTACCATACCTCCTCGATCTGCAGCCAAGCCACTGCTGGTGAAAAGCGAAATCAAAGTAGCCAATACTAGTACTGCACCCTCTAACCAAACCAACAATCCCGATTTAAAGTTTTCTCAGAGAGACGACGGCGCTTTCGGAAATTTGAGAGGCATCGAAACGCCTCCCCAACCGCAAGGTCGAGCCGATGGTTCAGCGCAGAGGTATTTTAATACCCCACCTTTCAACAGGCAGAAAATCAGATCGAAAGAACCACCCAGCTGTGTGAATGGCACTAATGCCACATTCTGCCTAGAGGATGACGAATACCCATCGTAAGTAAAATACCTATTACTACCGAAGTTATAACTAGCATCGTAAACTAACACTAGATTCGGATCTTTACTTCCTTAAATGATAATTTATTGTTATTTAAATTAAAATTACTATCTTAAAGTACCTATCAGATAATATTTTTGATAATCGAATAGATAAATGTTCCTTTTTTTAAGTAGGACAAAAAGCAATAAATAGCAATTTTAGAAAATTATAATTAATATCAATTTTGTTCATTACAAAAAATGCTAAATTCTTTAAGAATCAGTGCGTCCATAATGAAAACTTTATGGCACATCGATTAATTACAATAACGTTTTTGTATTCTTTCCAGGGAGATCATCAGGCTGTCCATGAACAATAATCAATTCCTATTAGAACGTATTCTTGCAGACCCGACAGACAGCAGTTCCATTAATTTAGTAGAGGGTGTGGACGGAAATTCCACTTCCGGAAACATCCGCGAAAAAAACGGCACCAGTTCTAAAGACGGAAATTACATCTGCTCCTCTACTGTCACTTACGCCCAACCTCTGCGTGCATCTAATATCGATGGAGACTGGAAAGTCATTGTTAACTTGAAAGAGCGTGAAGGAGGAGCAAAATATTCTCAAACAGTGCGTCTGGAAGAGTGCAGGTAAGTGTTATTTTCTCATCTGTAAGTTGTTTCTCACCGTACGTTCGCGTCGCGTATCTTCTAACGTAATTTTATAATTGTTCTAAAACGGAAGAAATTATTTCGATAGAAGTCATGGCGTGGCGTAACAACTTACAGATGTAGCGCATTTTATGTATAAATATACCAAAGGCTTTCTATAACGAACTGCTTTACAGCACTCCCGAATCGTCGTGCAACTTTCTGAACGGAGTTGTCAATTCTCGCTGCGTACAGAAATTCAACTTGCAGCGATTGTTGGCATGGAGTTACGAAGAGGGCATCCACTTCGACGTGTTCCGTCTTCCCATCGCGTGTTCGTGTCAAGTGCGTCGTGCGGGAGAACTGCCGTGATGCGGTAGCAACCAGTGCGTTACCACCAGCTGAGTGGAAAGTGTATTGGGTAGAAGGCATCCTGAAGGGATGTAGCGCGTACAACTAATCCTTTACCATCACAGGGCGTCTATTGCTGTCACACTCGCGTATACAACCGGATTAAGACGTCTAAAATTCCGGCACAATTCTGTTTCACTTCTCTTATTAGTTTTTTTAAAATGTCATTCGAGTGTTTATCATCGTCACTAACTTATGTTCGAAATAAACTCATCGCCTATAAATGTTTCATGTTATTTTCTAATTTTATTGATATATCATATCAAAACAACACCATTTAAGTAGTTGAATAGCTTTAATTGTACATCTGATGACATTACATACCCACTAACAACTAAGATGAAACATATAAAATGACGTTAGCATCACTATGAACAGACCACTGACCAGATTAATAGCGATTAATCGATACTAGGGACCGTGTCTAAGTTGCAACGAATAATCCCTTAAATTTTGAACTTACGACCGAAGAGTGCAGCTTTTGTACAGAAGTGAAACTGCTAGGAGGGACAAAAATTTCTACCAATAAATACAAACGATGCAACACCCAGCTAATGGATATTTACATATTTCTTAATCGGAAACTCGGGCGAAACGTTCCCATCGTGGCAAATTAACAGATGCCATGCTCTTGAATACAGAAGAGAAGATGGTGGCGTTCTAATGTCCAAAGAAAAAAGAATTAACATGCGAGTAAATTGGCACTAGCCTCTCAAATGGACGCACTGGGAATTTTTTTAAAGCTTCCGTTCGAAAGTTGAAACTATTATACTGGTCAGTGGCACTAAATAGTTAAACTTACATTTATTTGAATTTTTTTCGTTTTTAACCTTTTTGTCAAATGCGCTTAAAATAGCAATTTCTACTCTTCTAATGGCATCCAAATCACTTTGAATTTCGGGGCATCTTCGAAACTCTGCCCATAAGCTACCTGAAGCATGCACAAAAATATTCCCGGTTAACGAGGAAGAGAGGCATGCTACCTTTACAATGAAACAACAGGAAATTCTTAACAAGTTTACATTATGGTGAATTTCTTTTTATATATATATATTTACCGCATATTTTTAAATATTTATATATAATACACATTGAGAAAGTAGTGCTGAGGTACAGAAGTTTCTTCAATTATATACCAAAACAAAAGAATTTCATTTCTCCTTTGGATGTGGCCCCGATGAGATTCCGACACAAATCATACTTAATCCGTCGTCTTTCACCCCTCCCCACTGTTTCAAATATGGTTTCGCAGTAAACGCCATCAGTCAACAATCTGTATCACAGAAAAGTCTGCAAGAATTTGCCACCAATAGTTGGGAAGGACAATAATTCTGCGCTATTGTAAACACGTACAACACGGACCAAAGTGATCTAAACACTTAAATAAAGCACCTGGCTGAGTCGCTGCTGATCACTGATGTGAATTGCTGCCACTGTTATCAAGATCCTTTTTTAATCTTATATTTAAAACTAATACAGATCCGGGTTATATCCCTGTTCCCTAAAATCAGTCCAGCTGTATTAGGAAACACCTGTCATGTATTGCTGATGCCTGAGGTTTAAATCAATCTTCTGATTGTGCTCTATGGACACAACTGAAATAGCACCCCAAGGGAAATAATACTGATTGTCACCCCGGACATATCTATGGACTTTTTCTTAAACGTGAAACAGCTAGCTATAAATACTACTGGAAAATATACTTCCTCTCTTTCGCATAACGTCAGCAGCGTGAATTAACGTGCCGACAACTGCGAACAAATTTCCTATGATAGTTTCTACTCTGAGCTTCTTTGGTATTAATTTTTATCATCATTTATGCAATATACGACAATAATATGGCATATCTACAAACTAAACTTCCATCTTTTGATTTTTAAAATTGCATGGGTGTACTTAATCTCGTTGAGAAGTTGCGTAAACATCAAAAAACGAAAAACTAATGGCTTAATGGATGCGAGATAAATTTACAGGGTTGTCACCATCATACAATTTTAAGTGACCTTGGAAAATGAATCATGGACTTACATAACTTTTTTTGTTTTCTTTTTACATGATAGACGAAAAAGTCTGAAGAATTATCCAACTTCATTAAAGGGTGAAAATAAGCAAGTTGAAACACTCAATGTTCGAATCTTCAACCTGCATAAATCCAGCATGTCAAAGTCACTGGTAAAGCACAAAGTAATATTTGTGCAAAATGGGACTTTCGGGGTAGCTATAATGGTGTTGGTGTTGTAGCACCATAATAGAATGCTAATGAGTTCAAACACAGATCATATACACCACATCACAGATATGGTATTTTTACAGGAGGTATAAATTCTAAAATTAATTTCACGAACAACTGAAATTTTCATTATTGTTTGTCCCCAACATTTCTGCTGCTGCTGTTGCTGCATAGTTTTTGTCACTGTCAACATTCTCTGGTATATTATTTTGTTCCACAGTAAACGTTGCTTCGACTTTTTCCTCAGAGCTCACAAGATTACTGTTGGTTGCCACACTAGGAGCATTATAATTCTGTTCTTCTAAAACGGACATGCTTGAAACCTCTCCTTCTGTATCCAGATGCTCATCCAAATATAATTCGGCTCCATGAAACACGTAACGATTCGGTGGAACAATCAAAAAGGTATTTTCTGTAAGATAATACTAGAATTAATCTTATATAAATCTTAATAGTTTTTAAAATAAGTTTGCTGATAGATAAAGTTATTTAATAATTTACACAGTTTCTTATAGAAATACTTATCAATTATCAAAATGTTGCTCTACATGAAACTAATTATTCATATAAAAATTCAATACAATTTTCTACTTCCCAATCTTAACTTATTTCAGACAGGATCATGGCTGAATCACTTCCAAATTAACTTATAAATGTAAAAATTCCTGTGAAAATCTATTTAAAATTTACAATGAAATTTTATCTTATTCAGATAAAAACATATTCAGTCTAATCTGATAAGTGTTTCCAGTATTTCTCTAACATTTTAGAATCAGTAAGTCGTTATAATATTAGTAATAAAATTTAAAATATACGTAAACTTCATTTAAATGTATTATTTTGACAAGTGATTAAGTATTTTCTTTATTGATAATGCTCCAATTAAAGTAGCTTTTTTTCCTAAATTTCTTTTATTACAAAAATGAAAATATTTTTCATTTATATTTTTCTATATAAAATAGACGAGTTCCTATTACCGTATAATTTTACAAATTATGTTCAGAATTAAATATGCCAAGGTAAAATAAACGTTTTCTTTGACACTTTTATAATGACATAATTTAATCGGACAATTTCTACTTCCGTTATTTTTTATAATACGATCATGTAATCAAGATGGATCTCATCTCATTTGTGTCAGAAAAACTGATCATGAAAATAAAATAACTATAGATTGATCCACAATTACTTCATTGAGTACCAATAAATGCAACTAAATATAACCTAAAACTATGTTATCATTGCAGATGGCATAATGAAATATTCACGAAATAAGGTTTCTTAAATGTTTTATGAATGAATGAAAAGAAAAATCAGATTTTGGAAATTTGAGAGATATAGAAAAACATAATTGTTGGCTATTCTATAAATTCAATTTCTACAAAAATATATCAAAACACAAAATATTAAATTTATAGTCTTAAAAAGAAGAAAAATATACTAGGATTATGTTTCTATAAGCCATTCTCATATTTTATCCAAGATACCATTTATAATCTAAAATAATATTAATAAAAATTGAAAGCTAAAATGCTTATTGAATTTATTTATTTAGATACTGCAATATTTACATTCATTGTAAAAGCAAGCTAAAATTAATAACCACTAAACTTAAATTGCTAATCTTAATTTAATTACAATGATTATATCAAAGTGAAAACTAAAAATTGGATTTTTAATATAGTTTTTTTATTAATAGTTCAAGTATTTACAGATCACCTTCAAAATAAGCACCATCTGCTATACTCGTACATTTCTGCTGATGTTCATACCACTTTTAAAAGAGCCTTGCAGCTCATTCTGCATTATCTCCAAGTATAATCATTGCAACGTCTCCCTTTCTCTTTGTTAATTTTAATCTATAATAGAGCTTTTATTTTGGTTAAAATATGAAAATCTGAGGGGAGAGAACTCATAAGATAGACATAAAAGTACAGATATGTGATATTTTGCCAGATGTACAGTAACTAGGAGAGTATGATGTGCTAAAGTTGTTGGGAAAAGGTGAACTCAGTTTTTTGTTTGTTGTAGATTAGGCCATTTTCATCTTATATCAGAGCAGCAACTAAGAATGTCAATGTATGGTTCCTTAGTTAAAATGCCTATTGTTGGAAACAATACAATGCACCAGATCTTTCAACATCAGCCTACAATAACTACACAGAGATAATACAGAATGAGCTGTAAGACAGTTTTAATTAATGGTAGAAATGTTAGTAGAAGCATCTGACTTCATAAGATACTCATTTTGATGATTATCTTCTGCAAATACTTGTTACTATTATACAGGGTGATTCAAAAGTCAGAGAAATTTTAAAAAGTTAATAACTCACAAATTATTTATAGTAAGATGTGGTTTTCACAGAAATGCTTAGAAGTGGAATTTTTTTTATAGTAATAAAAATTTTATTAAAATAGTTACATTTCTTGCCATAGATGGTGCTGTAGGAAATTGAAAGCATTTGTAAGTTCTTAAAATAAGACTAAAAATTTTTAATGTTCTTATTGTAAGTTCTACTAACAACTATAAAAATTATGTAATCTTATCAAGCACCATTTACGGCAAGAAACGTACTATTTTGGTACTAAAATTTTTATTACACTTAAAAAAAATCCAGCTTCTTACTAAGCATTTTTGTGAAAACCACATCATTTTACTGTAAATAGTTTGTGAGTTATTAATTTTTTTAAATTTCTGTGACTTTTGAATCACCCTGTATTTGTTACTTGCAAATACTATATTACTGTACTGTAATAAAAACTACACTAAAAATTCAGTTTAGTTTTGACTACCACATAAAATATTTTAAACATTAAAACTTTGATTCACAATTTTCCAATGCAATCAAAAATCTCTAATTCTTTTTAAAGGTTCACGTGAATTGTTTATAGTAAACTTAATAACCACAAAGGTCAAGACATAAATCATTTTTATAACCCTTAAAAAATAAACCGTACTATACATTAATAATAATTAGTATTTGGAAAGTACAAACAAATTTGGATAACGTTTTAAAGATCATAAATTTAAATTGCTATTCCTTAATACTTTGCACATTTTTAAACAAAAAAAATTCTTAGATTGGTTTATGATTACACTAAAGCTAAAGAGGACACACATGAAATCAAACATTCTACAAAATAGGAAAGCTTATGTACTGAAATTTAAACTATTTGATGTATGAGGTTAAATCAAAATGTTCAGAGACTAAATTAATATTTAGGAAAAGATGAGTCTTACATTTATTCAACAGATTTCTTTTAGTCTCCATAACTCTATGTAGACCGCCAAACTTTAACTGTCAACCCCCAACCACTTTCCAAAACCTCACATTGACCCCCATCATAAAGTTTTATTACAAGTGTAAGTGTATGAGCAAAAAAAAAAATAAACGTTGTGATCTCTGATATCTGTATAAAAAAAAAAAGGTTGTAACCCATTGCCGCATCGACCTCCCCAATGATGTTGCATCGACCCCTGGGGGTCGATATAGACCACTTTGGCAACCCCTGATGTAGACTAATTCCAGCACTTCTGAAAGTGATTATGATATGCTACTTTTAGAAATGCTAATACAGGTATCCCTTGTTTAACATGGTTAATTAATCCCGCGATCCTACCAGGTATATCGAAATCGCATTAATCAAACTATGATATCTATGTTAAGTAAAGACATGTAAATTGAAACTTCTGTCGTGTATAAGAAGGGACTGCTACAATTAGTTTTGCAAGTTAACCAAATCCCATGTTAAGAAAGGGATACCTATAGTTTATCATGTTTCGAATAGTTTGGTTGATTGTTGAAAAGTTATGTTCTTTCAAAGAAATTTTAAAATTTATATGTAAAAATATAGTATAATCTCTCTTTTTAACTCGTCAAATAAAATTTGAACAATATGTAGATAGATCATTGATAAAATTCTTAAAAAGTTCTGAGAAGACATTTTTCAAAAAACAAAGAATCAGAAATTGGTGCTTGTATTTTAAGTGAAATGCAGCACTTAGCATTTCCTATAAGCACCAATTTTTATCTTTGTTTTCTGAACTGCATGCTCAATCACTATAGAACTGTCTTGTAATATTTCTTGCTTAACATTAACATTTGAATTTAACAAACAATATCCCAGAAATATTTTTAAAAAATACCGTAGCAAAATTTTATATTTTATTTTTAATGAGATGGTTTTGTTTTATTTACCTTGATGGGGTTGAATCTTTAATTCTGGATTATATATATGGCCCAGAAGTAAAGACTGATGAGAGAAATGATTTAAGTGAACAGCACATTAACAAAGATCTTCATATGCAAAAACTTGCTACTCCCTCTGATCATTAATCATAAATCAAGCATCCCATCACAGTGATCATAAATAATGGAAGTTCCTTTATCACACTCTTATTTTCTGTTTAAGTTTTAAAGCTTTTTTGGAATAGCAAAGATTTGCAACAATTAAGAAAAAATTTTACAGAATGTAATGCATTAACTATTAATCACTCCAAAAACACACGGAATATTTCCAGCAGTTGCCAAAATATTGAAATCAATGTACACATTAATATGGAGGAAACGAGTTTGTAAGATCTAGCTGAATATAACCTCATGACTTCCTAAATATTATTTCAATCTCTATATTCATTGTTCATATCTCATAAAATATTTATTATTAATACTACTAATACTACTTATTTAATATCATTTATAACAATGATAAAATTATATATTTAATTTCATTACAACAAAAAAGTATTACAATATTAAAAATTACTAATTTAAATAAATTTTAGTAATAAATTTTAAGCAATCTTCAATAACATAATATAAAACTCAGACAATTCAAAACTCTCGTTCATTATTATTAAATTTTTATAACCCAACATTAAAAACTCACCAGGTAATCTAGATGACAAGGACTGCTTTTGTGTGGACTGCCAACACTCTCTCAATTTTTCTATATCTCTTGTAGATTGTGGTTCAGAATCTCTATCATTACTAGTGGAATCAGGATTGTTATTGCTTTGATCACTATCAACTATTCCATCCAAACTATCTTCTATTCTAATATTAGACAGATTATTACAGTCACAACTACTTTCCTCTTCTGCAGGGTTATCAGAATTCTGATTCCAACTATTAGCTTCCACAGCAGTAGTGGTATCTGCTGCAGCTACATTGTTATTATTGTTAACCTCAGATTCTGATAAAACATTTGTACAATTTTTATTAACAGCAGATGGCAATTCTGCAATTTGTTGAAGAGCATGCTGGGTTCCTATGACTTGCAGCCACTCTTCCCCTAACCTGTAATAATTTATTACAGTTAATTATTATTTTACAAATTCATAAAATGAAAATCTACTATGTATGTAAGATTTGATCAGTTTACCTGCTACACAATTCCTTTATGATAACATCACAATCTCCTAACAGTTCAACATCAAATGTAAGGTGTTTCAATGGTTCTCTGTTAATTAAAATCTGAGGAACATTTGGAGGTATTGAACCTAAAATAAAAATGATAATAAGATCATTAAAAATTCATAAATTAAACTATCAAAAACTAAATAGTGTATCTTGATTGTCAAAAAAAATTAATTAAAGCAATGTTTTTCATTTTTCATTCTTTTCAACTAGATTGGTCAGAGACTGGTTTTTCTATTATATAATCATTTATTATGTATGTATAAATCATAAACATTACTTAAAAGAAAATTATAAAACTAAGAATTCTTCCTGAAAATTTTAATTAATTTGTTTTTAAATATAAAAATTCTTAATACAGTAAAACTTCTCTAACTCAAATATTTCTTTAACTCTAAAAGAATGAAGCATTTGGTAGGTTTCAATAGAATAGCATAGAGATTTAACATCTCCAACTTGAATTTCTTAACTTGAATTTTCTTCAAGTCAAAGTGTTTCATGGTTGTACTCCAAAAGTGATTTATGTTACTTTCAACTTTTAATATTTATCTCAAATTTTAATATTTATCGTTTCCAAAGTGATCCTAATTATCGGATTTCCATGAAATTTTCAGACAATGGTAGCTACTCTCCAAAACCAATTTTCAGACAATATTCTAGTCCAAAGCAAGGTCCTTTCATTTTATCTCAACAAGATGTACTGTACCTGCAAAACTGTTCTATTCCATTAGTTATATTGACCATTTTGCTGAAAGGCATTATATGGGTTGTTTAAAACAAAACAAAAAAAACTATCAAATATTCTTTATATAATGCAAGAGATGTAAGTAAAAATACAAATTTGTTGTACAGAATAAGAATTTTTTATTCTACTCTATTGGTCTATAACTTGAATTGTCTGTAACTCAAAGTGTTTTCCTTCCCCTTGGAACTTTGAGTTTGAGAAGTTTTACTGTACATGTATTTCCTTATTGTTAAAAGACAGGGAGGGCAATATTTTATGCATGTACAAAGAATTAATTTATCTAATTAAATAAATTTAGTAATACAAATACTTAGTGTGATCTTACTGGGTATGAGAGCAACTGGTCGAACTTTTAAGGATGAACCAATAACAATAAGAAGATCACAAATATCTTTATCTTTGGCCATTGTTTGATGAAATTCATCTGATAAACCTTCACCAAAAAATACAATATCAGGTTTCATTACAGCCATTTCTTCTATATCAGGTGGACAATATGGGCAATAAGGGATTTGCTAAAAACAAATAATCATAAATTATTAAATATAATAACCCAATGTAATGTATTAAATAATTTGTATTTTAAAATACTTTATTACAATTTTAAAAAAAATTTTTTTATTTACCTGATTAAAGATTTCATCTTTTATTACTGAACAATCAACTTTATAACCACACTGTGTACAAGTAGCAGTAGCAAATGAACCTACAAAATTAAGCTTTATTAACACAAAAATTTCTAAAAGAAATTATAAATCTTATTTAAATGAAAAATCTATTAAATTTAAAATAATATAACTGAGGAATATTTTCACTTGTTTCTTCAGTTTTGATTTTTGTACAATATTCTGATTTATTTCTTTTACAAAAAAAATAATTTATATTACATACATAAATATAAAATTTTAAAATAATTACAGACTGAATTTTAGAAATTAATGCTAATAACTTTTTAATTACTGTGTAAAATGGCTTATCATCAATGTAACAATGAATACATATCTAATTCATGATAGAATTTCAAATATCTCTCTTCACAGACAATTAAATTTAAAATTATTTATCATCACAAATGTAAATTTACACTATCAGATTATAACTAATTCAAAATGTTTTACAAGTTACTCAATTAAAGTTGAAATGCTTACTGAATACAAAAATAATGTATCTTAAGTAAATTTGGAAAAAAGTGTTTTGAATTCTTTCTTGAAAGATTACTGTTTTCAATTATACTTTATATTAATAATCAATATTATACTGTACTTACTGCTACATTATATTTTGTGGTTAAGAAAAATTTATGCAATTTCTGATATATAAAAATATTTTAATAATTTCAATTTCTTTTTTACTATCCACAATATCATCTCAAATGAAACTTATGCTTTCTTAATACATTTATATCAAGGATTAAGAAATTAGTCTTATAAACTTCACGTGTTCAGAAATTTTTATAATGTTCAGTAAATAAAATACTCAGACTAATATATGACAACACTTATTTTAGTAGTATCAAGTTAATAACTTATTTAAATTAATTTTCATAATTCCTGTAAAACTGCTAATCAATGATCATCTTACCATGGCAAGTGATTGCTTTCACTATTCCAGCAGCTTGTTCTAATGTATCTATATTCTGAGTATAATTTCTCAGTAATTTATTCTGTTGTTCCAAAAGACGAATAAAGCGATGACTTGGAGATGGCTGAAACTGGCCAGGATAGATTTCCTAAAATGACAATACAATAAAAATTAAACACACATCTAAATAGCATTCTAATTTGTAGCTTAATTTTCTCTTATGCATGTAAATGTAATCATACATTTGCATGCAAAAGAGTAAGATTGAATTACATCATTATTTCAAATTATGACCTTAACTATTTTAACAAAACAAAGTCTTATATTGATTAATAATAACAATTATCAACAGTCATACTGTCAAGGTGAAAGAGTTCAGTAGTTCCAATGAACCATAGAGCAATACTGGTAGAAGTATAAGCTTCTGTTAGGGTCATCCATGCTAGAAAGGTTTGTAGGGATTTATTAGGGCATTGTTATAAACAATTGGCTTCTCCACTTATGTGGAGAAAACATAAATGGTTGTGACATGTTCTCAGCAGAATCTCAGCACAGACATCATCCAAATTAACAAATTCTAGTGTTTGTGCATTAGGCGTGTTCAAAATTTTGCTAGTCTTCCTTGACATCACTAGCAAGCACAACACTGACCCAAGTATGGCTACTCTATCACAAACAACCACAATTTCACTCACATACAATGGATAACAAATATGGATGTCATTCAATTCATGAATGAAGACAAAGTCTACAAATAGTTAGATTTTCAAGAGGCAAATCTCAGAACATGCACAAATAAAACAAAGATTAACAAAAGAATACAACATTAGATTAAACTTGATACTAACAATGCAACTGAATGCAAAAATATATTTAAAGCAATCAACACATGTCATCCCACTTCTGGCTTCATTTGAAGTTATAACTGGACACACACATACAGGACTAGGACTGCAAAGGAAAGTATGAACAACATTAACAAAACAAGTACTATTTTAAGTCCTCTGTAGAAAAGCTGACTCTTCCTCAAAGTGAAATGATGAATCCTCAGATATTTTAAAAGTTCACTACAAAAAGTACATAGAGTTTTTCTACAAAAACAAGAAACTTCTAAAACCTTTTACAGAAACCTATAACTCTTGCAGACAAATACAGTACATCATTAAAGCTACACAAGACTGACCCAGATATAATACAGTACATAAAAGATTTACACTAAGCAGTTCTGGATTGGAAGGAGTCCCACAATAGACATCCTAATTACCTTAGCCGTGATCATGTTGACAAAACTATATCAAACTGCAAGTTGGCTCAAGATGCCTCCTTGAAGAAATGATGGATTTATGATTGCCATACAAAATCAGGTTATAAATACAAGAAACTACATAAAGCACATTTTAAAAGATAACACTAACAGATGATATATGTAGGAAATGCCATATTATGCATGAAACTATTCAACATATCACAGTGTGTTACAAGCTTTTAACACAGATTTACATTGACAACCAAACAGCACACATAGTATATGAGAAGTTTCACAAAAACAACCTATTATTATACTCGTAGCAATCATACTAAAACAGATACCATAGACAATCTTATAAAACAACAAACAAAATATAGTATGACCAGAATACAATTGGAGACAAAACAATCATCACAACAGGCCAGATATCACATTCACTGACAAACAGAACAAAATCACACATATTACAAACATTGAGCATTTGAGGCACTCATCAATTCTTGTAATTCTCTCTCGCACAGCAATACATTAAGTCAATAATAACAAATCCGTGACCCATTTCAAGAATTTTAAGGTATCTACATTGAATATTTAAAATGTATTAAGTTTTTATAAATTATTTTAAAAAATATTTGATATATTTTAAAACTTTGCATATGTAATATAAAAGCAGGATTCTAAGGCTTTGTTTTTATAAACTTTAGAATCCTGCTTTTATATTAGCCACACTTTTATATTGTCAATGGCAACTAATTATAAGATAGAAAATTAACATCAAATAAATAACAGATTTCCCACCAAACAAAATATTTCTTTCCATTATAATCACATTATTATTTTCCTTATATAAAGTTTACTGTTATTTTTATGATTTAGATTAACAACTACTTTATTTAATTTTTAGTTACATAAAGTAAATTTATAAGCATTTTTATTTTTGTTATTTCATAATTACTCAAATTAAATATTTGGCCTATAATTTGAAGTTAATAAATTTCAAATTCAATTTTACCCACCTTTGGAAAACAATTTGCCATCACTGTATTAAACAAAAGACTAGGAACATTAAGCATTAACAGTAGCTCATATTAAAGAAAGCAGCTGTACTAAACACATCATATAGTCTGGAAATTCTTCAACAACAATACATACTGTATACAAAAAGCATATAAACAAAACTTTTCCTATATAGTTATAAGAAAAGTTGTCTTACATACTGATGTCAACTCTATAGAATGCAATCCACCAATGTATCATTAAGTAATAATAATTACTATCATTATGTTATTTCATTTATTAAATTCAAAATTCTTTTTAATTTGATAGTCCAAATTTTGTAATTTTAAAATAAAACTATTAGAAAAAGAAACTAACAGAAACATTTGAATAAAAATTGAATAAAAGGGAAACAGTTTTAGAATAAACAAATGAAGACTTTTTATTTGATAAATGCATTGTTAAAGTATTATCAATAAACAGTAGTTACAGCTCAGAGAATGAACAGACATTTTAAAGATATCAAAATGTTAAATATGTTCTAGAGTTAGAGAGAGAAAGAGAGAGAGAGCTTATTTACACACACGCAACATGTGAAAATGAGAACTGAGATCAAAATTTGAATTTCATTCTTTCAGTTATTACAAAGTAATAAAAGAATAATCATATTAAAAACAATATTTACCTTTGCAAATTTAAAGAATGGACGAGGATCCTTTCTAAAATAATTTATGTCAAACATTGCTTGTGGATCTGGCAAATCAGGATATTCTTTGCTTAGACGTGCATATATTCCATTTATTGATCTAAAATCTGGAATTCCACATGAAACAGATACCTGAAATAAAATTAAAACAGTCAAGTAACTTGTGAATTTTATGGGGGGGAAATGAACAGCATTAATAATAATTTAATATAAATATTGTAAAATATACAGCTTTTAAGTTCATAGCCATGCACTGAAATGTCTGCTAAAATTAATTTTTCTACTAGATGTGAGATACATATTTTATTGTAAGATACTTCATAATAAAATTTCTGAATTCCAAAAAATGTTCTGGAAACTGAAATTCATAAGCAGATTGTGATCTGTATAAACTTGATGAAATAAGTGATGCAACAGTGAAGACTTTTCATGAGGGCAGACAGAACATGTACGATAAAGATGCTTCCATCTTTATCATGAACATTTGATTGTCACTGATGCAGTTGGCGAATGAAAAAATTCAATTAAAATGATGCTTTATCATTTGAGAATCAAGAGCAGAATTCCCTAAATTTCTCATTCAAGCCTACATAAAATTGTCCATGTAAATTTTCACAAGAAGCCAAACAGCAATAAAGCAGTTATTGAGAAACTTTAGGTTTCCTAGTGAGAGAATCACTCTGTATATAATCAATACAAGCTATATCTATATACATTATGCACACACATGCATAGGCATGCACACACATACACACAGTTTGTTTAAAACAATATATGTATAATATGCACACACTTTGTTCAAAGTACAGTATATTCTTTTATCATCATATGATATAAAATATAACTATAAATATTTACATATAACAAAATTCTTTATAAAAAAGAATTTTATATTGAAATCTAGTAATTACATACTAAATGTCCTGAAAGGAGAGATGTATATAACTATATTACTAACCCCTGCTCCTGTTAAAATAATAATTTTGTTACATGTTTTCAATAATTGAACTACATCTTCCATAGTATTAACATTGGCCAGTTTTTGGCGTCTGGGTGGTTCACTCAACATGTTCACTATTATCTTCCAAAGTGTGACTTCATCCAAATGAGATGGTATGAGAGTACCTTTTGGCAATATATCTGATAATATAGCATGTGGATCTGCACCTAAACTCATTTGTCTCTGGACCCAACTTACAGGACCTACAAGTAAAAAATGGCTTAAGATGAAATTTATAAAAATTATGATTTAATTTTTAAAAAAATGAATAAATTGAACATTCAAATTCATAAAATAAATTTTTCCAAATACATTTTACTTTCACTAGGTTTCTAAATGCAATAAAATATGAAATAATTTACTTAAGTTTTAATTATATTAAAAAAATTTAACTGTTTATTATCTCATAATTTCATGACACATTAAAAAATTATATGTACAGTATTCAGTTAGTGCAAATTTGAAAAAGTTAGACTGAATTTTATTTTTTATTACATTCAGATATTCTTATATATATAGAAAAACTTTTCCAACAGTATTTTATTTAACTAAACTTTCAAAACTTTTCTTTTTAAATTCACAGAAGAACATAATATAACAATACAAACTTAATTTACCTGCAGTTGGTTTCCATTCTTGCCCACTAAAATCTGAGAGATCACTTAAGCCAGACAAATCACTGATAGTAGAAGCTATTTCATCTGCATCATTCTCTATATTATCAGGTACCAAACTGTTTATATCATCAACAGATGAATATGTACTAACTGATGGCTGACCTAATAAATCAGTTTGAGAACTGTCAGGATCAGGGATATGTATTCCTATATCAAAACATTTAAATGATTCAATAAATCTGAAAATTAGTTCATAAAAATTCTTCTGTAAAATAATATAAAATCATGATACTATAAAATTAATTAAATTTTACTTAAATTTCCAAAGATAGCAAATTATTTTACATGATGATCCAAATACCAAATAATTATTTCTCTACAAAACATTATTACAAATCTAAATTATTATTCAAATTCTTTTAACTGGGCTAATAATTTAATAATAACTTAAATTTTTAACAAAATTATCAATATAAGGAAACTAAATATATATAATATTTTATAATATATAAATAAATTACTAACCATTAACAAAATCAATATGCTGGTCGTACATCAAATCAAGATTAAGTTCATCAATAGATGTAGAATCCACATATCCAGCAGATACTGGAGGAGTCAATTCATGAAATCCAGAATCACCGCCATAAGTATCATTCTGTGGATCACTTGTTGATGTCACTTCTGTAATCAATAAAAATAAATTTAATAATAATTTAAAATTAACAAATTAAATCCATATGAAAAAATATACTATTAGATTAAAAAGCATTGTAGCAATAATGTTCAAAATAAAATTCATCATTATTTATGAATTTCACTTGACTGTTCTATCTAAAATGTTCCTATATCACATAGGACTTTCATCTCTTACTTTCTGAATATCCTATGTTCACTGTCTTTATATCCATGTACTGTATGTATGTATGTACGTACGTACGTATCTATATATACAGTATATGGAGACAGAGAATGAATACATACGCACACCAAAAACCTTTATGTAACCTTATTCTCATGATCTTATGTATTTTTCATCATCTTATTATGACTTTACACTGTAACAGAATGTTAACATAGGATTATAATATATGATATTACACTTGTTATCTATCTATACTAATATAATAAAGAGGTAATGTTTGTATGTAAGTTTCGTTGCAGCAGGTAATCTCTGAAACTACTCATCCAATTTCAAAAATTCTTTAAAATGGAACCTCAGGGTGGACATAGGCTGTATATTATTCCGTTAAACATTCATATAAATTAAAAGATATCATCTAGGGTTAAGGCTTTTATGTCCAACAGATGGCACTATGAGTACGACAACCTAAGTTTGATTTTCTGTGAGGATGAACTAAAGTAGATCATCTTCTATCTATCTATATAAATAAAAATGTAATGTTCGTTTGTTCCTACCGATTCCTTTAAAATTTTGACACAATGCTGCATTCAAATATGCACGTGTTTTTATATAATATACATGTCAAAATTCCCCCCACTGGGAGGGGGAGATGGACAGGATTAATTAAGGCTCACCGTAAAGAACTCTGCTTCTATTTATACTATTTTAGATGTGGTTCTTTTGCATTTTTGATTGCGTTTTAATAGGGTACATCAACAGAAATACACTGAAAAGGGATTTTTCGATATTCCCCCGTGGGGAGAGGGACAGGATTAAGGCTTACCATGAAGAACTCTGCTTCTATTTATACTATTTTAGATGCGATTTTTTTGTGTTTTTTATTGCATTTTAATGGGGTACATCAAGAGAATGTACACTAAGGGATTTTTCGAAAATTCCCCCCACAGGAGAAGTGTTATACATTTATAACACTTTTAGATACATTTATAACACATTTAGATACATTCTGAGCCACAAGAATGCATGGCGAGGTCTGCTAGTGATATATAAATTAATTAAAATATGTTCTTGAGAACAATTGAAAATGTTTGTTTTTCTCCATCATTGTTTTCACAAGTTGGATTTTTGGTTGTGTAAGTGTTTTAAAATGTGTTCTTTCAGAATATCTAGTTTATTAGTCTGCAATTTTCAAATTGCAGACCTATAAATCCCCACTGGTGTCTATCCTTCCTTAATCTCAAGAATGAAGTTAGATAGATGAAACTCAAGACCAGATACAGAAATATTAGGGGCAGTAGGCCTCAAACTATATATTAAGTTCTAGTTTTGACTGGAAGTCATATTACTTCAATTTTAAAATTTTCTCCAAAACAGAGTTATATAGCTAACAGACATGACTATTATTCACAGGAAAAGTTTGATGTACAGAGGACATTACTAAAATTGAGAGCACTGTGACAAAAAAAATTGCACCTCTTTCGAACCCAACAACTGGAAAAAATACATGGTACATAGGCGCTAAGGAGACATCTATTTACTGTGTGTACTAATTTTACTTGTGGCTATTTGAATTGGACCTTTTTTGATGGAGGAGAATGGAGACATCCCATTCCTCCTCTTGCATCAAATCTATCCACATCATAATGTAACCACCATGCCTTGTCACCTGTGACAATACATTGTAGAAATTTAATCCCTTCCTGAGCATAGTGAGACAAATGTGTGAAGGACACACACTGAGCCATTTCATCTTTTAAACCTCTGTCAATTCATGAGACGCTCACTGCATACACTTCATATGGCCAAGTTACTAAATGACCCTCTGTACATTTTCCCAACCACACTTCTTATAACCTAAAGAAAAATGCTTCAAAAGTAGTTCTAGAACAGGTATGGCAAACCTTTTGGAGTTTGCTGCCACATGGTAAATGTACAGTATCTATCTTTAAAAATGTTTATGTGTGCTGAAGTTTTAGACTTTGAATTACAATATTCAAAGAAAGGAAATAAATATGAATAAATTTAAAGAAGCTGATTGAAAAAAAATGATCAGGAGATAAACTGAAAAGATGATTGAATCATTTTATCATTACCTTTTAAAGTACCATTGTTACTTCATTTGCTAAAGTCATACTCACAGCGAAATGTGCTGAAGTCTGTATACAAAATGTTGTCATCACAGTTTTGACATACATAAAAAATCAAATGCCCCAGCATTTGATTTTATTTGGATCTTCCTAGCTAAATGAGAATAAGTGGTGCTACTCCAGCATTATTTTTAAAAAACATATTCTGGCTCAATATATATAACACTCACTTGAAACCTGTGATAAGGTGCTGGAAAAAAGCTTAAGGTTGTTGAAATTTTATTTATATTTTAAAAATTATTTCTGCTGTTAATATACATTAATCAAAATAAAAACACACATTTATACAATTATTAAACAGAAATTTAAAAAATGAATTTAAAAAAAATGTTAGGAGTTAGAATTTTAATGAAATCTACTTGGAAAAAAAATATGTCACACAATATTTTCAGCAATTAAACTATCAATAGCCAATGAATTCTCCTTTATTTTGAATAACCTTTATTAATCTTTCAGTCATTAATGAAGAAAGTTTATTTAGTACATCAGAATTTATATTTTGCTATGCTTTTTCAATGGCTTGCATCAAATCCTGTTTAGATACATAGATACATGAAAATCCTTGTATACAAATCTAACACAGATTCTCCACAGGTTCTCAATAGGGCTTAGATAAGTGCTTATACTTGGCCATTTCAAAACAGTTACTTCATTAGTTGCAAACCATGATTTTTTTGCCAAAAAGAGCAGTAAATTGATCTATTGTCTTGCTGGAATATCCAATCACCTGATGTAATTAGTCCAAAAGACAACAAATTTTCTGCCAAAATATCTTGATATTTAGTAGAGTTTATTTTTGAGGTAATAAAATTTATAGAATTTATTCTTGCAAAGCCAGTCAATACACACCTTAAACAACCTTTAAAGTCTTAAAAGTGCTCTGTTCAATCCCATTTCTAAAAATGCTATCAAATTCTGACAAATGTTTTCCTTTTGGTATTGTTGCAAGTAAAATTATAGAATGGACATCGAGTACTTTCTAATATTTTTGTTAATTTTTTAAAATTTCCATTAATAGTTTTATAAATATGAGACCTAAAGTATAACTTAAAGTTGTATTTTTTGATTAATGTATATTAACAGCAAAAATAAATAATTTTCAAAAATATGGGAAATATAAATAAAATTTCAGCAACCTTAAACTTTTTCCAAATACCTTATTCATGACCTGTTGCTAAGGAACCAGAAAATTTATTCCAACAATTGGTTTTTGAAATCAGGTAATCTTTACCCTGTCTCACTGGCTGAAACTTTCAAATTCTGGAACTGAGGATGCCCTTTCCCACTCAACCTTATTACAAGTTACAGAAATTAAACAACTATTTTCCAACTCTGCAAAACTAGCAATCTTAACTCTTACAATTTGTTCATCTAAAATCTTTATATATTATGCAGAACATTTCTTAAAATTTTGAAATTATTCTTCAGAAGCATTGAATGACTAAACAATTGATCTTGACTGTTATTTGTATTTAGAACCAAACTACATCATACAAATAAATGCTTACCTTGGAGTGAGTCTAGACAAGACTTTCACTTAAGGAACATGTGTAAGTTAATACACAAAATGAGCAATTATTTATTGTGATGATGTCACAATAAATAATTGCAATTTTTAATCATATTTTTTAAATTTATTTAATTTAAAATATATGCCCTCCATTTCAAATTAGTAATGGCTTGCTCTTGTACATCATTCTTTTCCTTTAACAATACAATCACGTCAGTCATCTAACACTTTTCTGGGGGAAATTTTTAAATTGAAATAACATTACTTCCAGTTTGCAACAGAAGTTCTTAGTTAATCTAGTTAATTAGAGTCTCCTTTCCCTAAGATTTTCGTATGTGGTCTTGTCTTTCATCTAACTCCATTCTCGAGATTAAGGAAAGATAGGTGGACAGACAACAGTGGGAATTTATAAGTCTACAATTTTTTCAAATTGCAGTCCAACAATATTCTTTGCAAACTGTGGTGGAAGACTGTCCCTCAACATTAAGAACATATGCACTCACATTAACTATTCTGTCGATGAATGTGTTTTTCCAGTTTGGAATCAATGATCCCATGTCAAACACATTAAGAAAGTCCTGAATGAAAGCTGCCACTGTAAAACAGGTTACCTAAACCAACACCAACATAATACATGCACATTATTGCTGGTATTGCTCCCATCCAACATTTGAAGATCAGTCATAACAAGCTAAAGATCAGCTTGTTATGAACAGAAAAACTAAATAATGCCAGATATCCATCTATTGCCAGATTATACTGCCCCAAAACAACATCTTAAATCTAGGAGAAAGCTTTATAAGAAAGAGATGCAACTTCACTTACTCAACCACTAGAAGAAAAGACAAGATTGAACATCAGCTATGAACAAACTAAAAGCTAAAAACAAGAGAGAGATCATATATATCCAACCCATAGAACTACCACCAGGTTATGACACACTAACCCACCTGGCAAACTATAAAGTCTTTGCAACAGAGTGGAATGTCAAAAAGAGACCTAAAAATAGGGATATATCATTGACTATGACTCATGATTGTGGAGAATGCCAAACCACAGACCACCTAAGAGTATTACAACCTGTTTTTTGATTGAACCATATCTGACCTGGCTGAAACAACAGATAAGGCCATATAGTAAGCACCAAGTTGTGGACGTGAAT